CTAGTGGCCCTGTCCAGACAAGGTACAGCCAGAATGATGGGCTCCAAGTCAGTTAGCATGTGAGAGGATGAAACAGAGCACATACAGTCATAGTCAGAGAAACAGGACTACAATGAATCAAGGGCCAAACTCCAATATCTATAAACAAAGGTTTTGATGGCAGCAGCACAGCTGATGTTTCTCTCCAGGATGTTGTCACAGCCAACAGGAACAGACCAAATGAAGCTACCATGATGAGAAAAAGCAGAGAGCATAAAGTTAGTTTGAATTAACAAATGATACACTGAAGCAGAATGCTGACAAAATGGTCCATATGTCCTCCAGCACCCTAAGCCTGAAGGGGCAGAGTTTGGGCAGAGTTGCCAGTGCCCTAAAGTCCACTGACAATGCTGCATTGTCAGAAAATTTAACAGTCTCCCTCTGTGTTTTGGATTTAGCAGATGACTTTGGACCAGCAGGTTGAGGAGTCATGGATTTACACATAAAGGCAAAGCAACATTCAGCCTTCTAGGTTAAATCCCACATCAAAGAACCAATAATATGTCTGATCAGGTTTCATATTTGTTTTGAACAACAACTTTTTAGGGATGGCTCTGGTGTTCATAGGGACTCATTTAGTGACATATCCGAAACTTTCAAGTTAGGTAGGTGAGTTCTTGAGAAGAGTGGCCCACAGAGGGCATCATTTGGCACCAAGTGCTGTAAATTGACCAATTTACACTGCCATTTATATATATAGCTAAAAGTTATTTAACGTTAATTAATGTTGTTTTAAAAAAACAATTTCATGGTTACAAAGTTTGCCTGAAAGGTTCACAGGTAGGCCTTGCTACAGTAAGACAGATGTTTAAACTCTGCCTAATATTCCCTAATAAGAAGACCCTTTCAAAGGAAGTAATTTCTAAAGGAGGTTTTATCAGTTCCATAGATTGTATGCTTCTCCTTGGTTTCCATCATTTTTATCTCAATGCGTTGACTATTTTATTAAAATTTGGGGGGGCAAATGGCAAGGTTAAAAAAATAAAACTCTTGATTTATGAACAAATAAATCAGATATACCGTAGTACCTCTGATTTCACTGACAAAAAATATATAATGTTTTACTTTCAGATACCAAATATTTGCATTTAGGCCTAAAAACTGGAGATATTCTTTACGCGTTTCAGCTGTATATTTCCTGGCAAAATTTATTTCTACTGTTACCACATTACAAGATAATATTTTATATTTTTATTTTCCAGCAATATTAAAGCAGCACATTCAGGGGGCTGAAAAAGTTTGATCCTCAACTTAAATCAGAGACTTTCAAGAAACCAACCAACCTTTTCAAATCCAGCTTATACAATAAAACAAAAGCTAAAATCTAAAAAATAAAAGCGAGGAAACTTGCTGTATTTGTTCAGCCTCCTGTTATTGTCTCTCTCTACCCTTATGTGTCTCTATAGACTTTAACTTGTCTCGACATATTCTAGAAAAGGCAGTTTGTTTTTTAGGGAGCTTCTTACAGTTCATGCCTTTGCTTCATTTTAAACACCTTATATTTAATATATTAGACTCCTTTATTTAGACTGACCAGAAAGGGCTCTTTAGTTTTTTTTTATTTGCAGAGTGACTGCTGGTTTGAGGCTGAAAATATGTTGAGTGGCTGATTTATGGAGTGAAATGTGGAGTTTGAAGGTTATTCATTAGTCGGTAAATATTTGATCATTCACCTATTGTTTTCAATCCATTGCCATTTTGTTAAAGTTTATTTGTCACAATTCAATGTGAGATATTTTTTCGCCCAACTTCATTCAGGTTACATTTAGTTTTTCTGTCAAGTCTTTCATAAAGTATTGAAGAGCATACAAAAAGTGACAGTTATACCTCTAAATCACTTTATCTATTAGCCCAACCATGTTATTTATTCCATTTTTACTGAGGTAAACAACGCCTTTGTCGAGTTAATACATCTGTTTGTGAGTGGAGATGTTTTGATGAATTATGCTTCTCTGCCAGTTCATTTACTGCACCTCAAATCTTTTGACAACTTCAAACATAAACAGTCATAATAATAAATCAAACAAATCATAATGTTCATAGCCATAATCACAAGTCATTACTCGCCTTTATCTACTCTTTGTATTCTCTCAAAAATTTTTGAGAATACATTGTATTAGTCTCCCTGTCATTACATGATTCTCACACTTCCTTCTTATTTATGTATGTCCACTTATCCCTACCCATTTTTTTGTACAAATGCCAGTATACTCTCTGCTTCCATCTACTGGCCACCAATGTGCACTGTGGGCTGGTTCAGCTGTTGCTAGGGACAACTGCTTCTTGAAGATTTGAGTTCTCTGGGAGAGGGGGTTGGTTGCTAACCATGTAAGCTTTGCATGAAACCTAATCTGGGAGATACAGGATAAATATGCACTGAGGTGTTACTAAAAAGAACAGGATAAAAAGTTTAAAAAAAAAATCAATGTCCAATGCAAATCATGGTGCTTAAATAACTTAAGTTGTATTTAAAGGGATATTTGTACACAGAAAAAAAGCCTCTCAAAATGTCTTTAGAAAATCTCAATCAATCCAAGGTCACTTCAGACCAATGCATTTTGGGTTTTTTGCTGAGGTCTGTTTTGTCAAAGCTTGCAGTATGGTCTTTTTACTGTGGCTGTTAAAAATCCATTGAGGAAATGAGTGGCTTGGCTGCCAATGCTGTGTCTATTAATACATTACCTCTTACTGAAATTAGCAACAAACCTAAAGAAAGATGAACGAGGTTTGGGGTGCAAATAAATAGGAAATTAAAACAAAATGACTGAAAACTTATGAAATTAAGCAAAGTTTCTTTCAGTGCTTAAAACAGCATTGGGTGTTTGTTTGTTTTTAATACTCTTTTGTGTTTATTGTATTTCCACATTTCCATGTACTGACTTATAAACTTGTAGAATTAAAGCACATTATCAGTAAGGCACATAGCAAGCAATGTGCAAATGTCCAGTTTTCTGCATTAGGAAATACTATTCAAAAGCTTTATATTAAACAATTAAAAATGACTATTTACTGTTTAAGTTCAGCTTAAAAAATGTATTTAGTTAGTCTTTTGCTGTGTCTTATAACAATAGATCTTCAACTTGTGCTTTTTTATGTGGTATTTGCATAAACCCTAATGGTGTTTTGAAGAAGTATTTATAAACCAAAATGCATTTATTTAGGGTTTAATATACTTACCGTAGTTGCAAAGTGGCTTAAAAGGTTAGATGGTTTTAACATGTTAAAAGTTCTAAACAGTGGGGTGAAAATTTGTCCTAATGGTCGTATTTGATGGAGACTGTCTGATGCGTATTGAGGATCAGTCGTTGTCCTCTTAGAGATACCATGAGCCTCTGTGATGGTTTGCTAGGTAATGTCTTACTTGCCTACTTTAAACTTCATATGGATAGTCATGTTCTTGCAGGTTTGCTAAAAAAAATGACAGTTTAAGTAACTTTGAACTATGCAGTTGTAAAATTAAAAAAACAAGAACAAGATCAATGGGCACAGATGCTTTTCCATAACTATACAGTTTGTCTAAATATGATTGCGCCAGATCTTCAAATTACCTCAGACAATCTAAAGATACATGTACAGATGTACTGATTATCTTGAGGTGATAAAATGTTTACATACTAGCCTCTGTGTGAGTTTTTTTTTTTTTTTTTTCTGTATTGGCATTTTAGGGTTAGGAAATGCATGGATGATGCAACTTGACTCATTGGAGTTGCAGCAAAAATGGACTCTTAGGCTCCTACCTGGATATTTCTTTAGGGTTTTTTAGGGTTTTTTACTTCTCAAAGTGATTCACAAGACTTTCCCTGACCCATCAAAGTGATTTCGTTGACTAAGGTTTAAAAGTGAATGAATATAAATGGCCATGTAAAAACAAGGCATCAGCAGGTCTGTATACAAAGTACAAAAGCTGACACACCCCAACAAACTGCTCTTTCTACTGAAATAGTAAAATCATTGTAAAAACTGCAGTATTTACACAAATTTAGACTTCTGCTTCTACCTTAATAATTTTACATAGAAGCTTTAGCCCTTGTGTGTATTTCATTTTCTAAAATAAGTAACCTGTTAGTGACCAGCATGCAGATTAGTAGTGATTAATATGAAAAAAAATGAAGAATCGAATTTTCCGTCTTTCCCTCCCCCTCCAATTTAGATCCATGTATATGAAATATAAAGTATATTTGAGGTGCAGGTATTAGTTGGTATCTATTTTTCCTACATTTCTTTCTTTCTATGATGTTTTAGAGAGTCAGCATCACTGAAATAAAGCTGGTCCGGACTATGTTACAAATTTGCCAAAAATACATCCAGCAGTTGCTATGGACACTGGTAGGGTATGAAAAATATTTTTTGAAAGCATTTTAAAATTTGCTGAAATAATAATATTAAGATAATAATTAATATAAAGACGGAATATAAATGTTAAGCGGTAAACAATCATGATGAAATAATTTATTAATCACAAATAAACTAAGGATAAATTTAATACCTTTTTAAATTTTCATGGGGGAAAAAAGAAGAAACAAAATTGATTTTAACAACAAGAAATTTGTAGATGAAATGGTCAAAAGTAAAGCTCTTAAGGCTTATGTCCTAAACTTAATGTGGATGCAGTATTTTAAATTATCTGCACACCAGGCCTTTACCTCTATACTAACTTTTATACAAGAAGACCATCAGAGATGGCTTTATGGAGGTTTGCATTTTCAACTACAGCTAATATATTGTTTCAAGAATATGTATTAATTGCTAAATTTAACAGTATAGGGAATTAGGAACTTCCAGTTCTGGATTGTCAATTAGAAAATAAATGCCACCTTCATGGGTGAGAGAAATATTCCAGATAAGTTGTAGGAAAAAACAAAACAATACCTTTTTTTGTTAGTAGTACCGAATAAACTGAACAATTGTATCAAATGTGGTTCTCTGGTCAAGTAACTTATGTACTTTTTTTGTCTCTGTAGGATTCTGTCATCTGTTGGGTCACAACTTGATCTGAGGACACTTCGAGCTGTCAGGGTGCTTCGGCCTCTTAAACTGGTGTCTGGAATTCCCAGTGAGTTGAGATGGATTTTATTATTTTATCTAAGAAAAAACAAACACCTGCCGCTATCTTTTTGTTTTCTTAATAAAGAATAATGTTTTAATTTTCCCATCCAGAATAGACAGTACACAAATTGTAAGAAATTCCTACATGTATTTTAGCAGTTTGGTAAATTTAGGTTTCGTTTGATCCACCAGGGTATTTCCTTATCATTAGTTAAATGTATTGTTAAAGATATTCTTGAATCTTTTAAAAGACCCTCCCTCTCCACTTAAAAAAAAAAATGCACGAGCATGCAAGAGAGCATTTCTCCTTGTGCACACTCTCAGTTTAAAAGTTGCTGTTCTCATAGCTCATACAAGCTTACTGTGCGGGAAGGTCCACCCTAACCCCTAAATTCCTCAATCACTACATAGAGCAGGGACTATATAGTGGACTTCATAATGAACTCGGTTAATTGACACTTTTTCTCTTACAACCCTCGGCCATTTTCAAAGAATCGCTGTGAGAAAGGTGAGCTTCAATGACAGGCTGAAACTGTAGCTCACCACACATATACGTCTGAAAGTGCGTATGCGCAGAAAAAGATAGCTAACCGAGGATGAGCACGTAGGACAACCTTACGCACACATATCACCAGAAATGTGATGACCACTTATTTAGCTGATCCACCCGGAAATGTCCCGGAAATGTCCTCTATACCTTTAAGCATTAGAAAGTGGAGACAGACTTAAATATGACTAGGTAAGTGACTTAGTATTTAGCAATAAAAGTCAGCGTAATATAGCACAGCTAACCAAGAAGATTTTTACACATTTCAGCTTCTTTTTTGTTGTTGTTTCAAGCTTCCTCTGAGTGTGTTGCATTGTCCTCCAGGTCTGCAAGTGGTCCTAAAGTCCATAATGAAGGCCATGATCCCCTTGCTTCAGATTGGCCTGCTGTTGTTCGTGGCTATCCTTATGTTCGCCATCATTGGCTTGGAGTTCTACATGGGCAAATTCCATACAACATGCTATGATCAAGTTACACGTAAGGATAAAGCAAAAATAATGATGACTGTATGAGCTGCCAGCAAAACGGTAAAAGACTTGGCCACATCCTTTGTATTTTTGGTCATATGTAAAAAAATTAAAATGAAACAGACCAGCAGGTGAGATTCTGTTGCATCTGTTTACTGAACTTGTCAGGATACAGTGATTGTAGAGGAATTTTTGCCTACTCCTCTTTTCCGAATTGTTTTAATTAGGCCTCATGAATGAGTTTTCAAGTATGACCCATCTGTATAAAGTCAGGCCACACAACTTAAATATGACTTTTTCATTTTGTTGTTCTTTTTCTGAGACATTGAGAAGTGGACCTGTTTGGTTTGTTTTTATTATTGTATTGTGGTCAAATTTGAACTCAATTGAGTTTTAGCTCACTTTATGACAGGATCTTCACCTTTAGCTAATAAATAGTAACTGTGCATCAGTTATGACATTCACCCTGGTCTTTTGGGCTATCACGCTACCACCATGTCTTTTTGTAAATTCTTTATTAGTTACATGTCAGATGTTATTATTCTCTCATCATACACACTGTTTACTCTTCCTTATCCTTTGAATATTTCCTTAAAATCCTTGAGAAAATTAGTAAGTTTAAATGTTGTCTTTGCTTTTTTCTTACCTCCTATGGGAGTCATTGTTGTGCTTTCAGGGTATTTTTGAAGGTAATTGTGTTGTTTCATTTTTAATTGTTAATCAACATCTTCTTTGTCCAATTCTCTCTAATTAGGAGAGATAGTGGAGGAACGTCCGTGTGGTAACCATACTCCTTCCAGGCTGTGCCCCAATGGTTCAAAATGTGATTCTGGCTGGATTGGACCAAACTATGGCATCACCCAGTTTGACAACATCCTGTTCGCTGTTCTCACAGTCTTCCAGTGCATCACAATGGAAGGATGGACAGACATGCTCTACTACGTATGTCCAACAAAATCAAAGCTATACTATCATTTCAATTTACAAAACTACTGTAAAAGTAATGAAAAAGAAAAAACTTGTCAGGTACTTCTTCGATTTTGAACAGGCAGCCAAGTTTTATTTTCCAATTATTTATTTTTTATATATATTTTTTAACTCTTCTTTTAATCAAACTGTCCAGCAGTTGAATATGTCATCTAGTGGTGAAATTGGGGATATTTCACTCAAATGAACATGGCAACTAGCACCCCACTGCCTCAAGCACAAATTGGTAAATTATGTGTCAAAAAGCCTCAATATGCAGGTGTAACCATGTCACCCAAAGTGAAGGAAGTTTCTACAAGCTGGCATTTACTGTGATAAAAAGCCAACATTTACTGCGGCGTTAAGCCCATGTAAACCAACAATTCTGTACCAACAAGATCTGCATATGTTTATACAATCTACTTTTATAGATTCTATGGTAACAAGCAACACTGTCCAATTAAACTTAATGAAGAAATTTTGCTTTACACTAATTTAGGTTGTACCGTTCACTTGTCAAGGAGAAACATCGTAACTTTCGTGTCTCTTGTAATATCTTTTCCTTCAGCAGCATTTCTGCACTTTAGTGCAATTTTTTTCCCTTGTCGGCTTCTGTACTTTCAAGATGGTAGGCTGTCATGGCGCTTTGCAAAGAGGCGACCAGCCTTACATTCATCCTATTATTTAATACTTTACTTTTGAACATGTATCTGATCATTTGAGGAGGTAATAACTCACCAATAATAATGCCAATTTAAATACTGTACAGTCATCAATTTGAGGCAGACACTGTTACACAGTGTCCCCATATAACATAATAATAATAATATATTGGGACATATTTGTCGTCGTGTTAAATCTACAGAATCCTAAATACGCTAAAAAAATCTGGTCCCTTCCACAAAAGATTCAAGAAAGTTGTGACTTCCAAATTAATTACAAATTTCAGGTTTTTTCCATTAACAAATATTTTAAATCTACTGAATAATCTTGCAATAGTTTTCAGCTATCCTCACATTATTTATACCACTATTTCAGATTTCACACTATAGTGCAGAACTTTTGGGTTTGGGTTTGATTTTCTATCTCTAATGATAATTCAGCTTTAAGTAGTCTAGATTAAAACAATGCTTAAATACTTTTCCTCCAATTTTCTCTCCTATTCATCATGAATGACCTCTTCCCATCTGCCCTTTCCTTGCTTTTTGAGATCTCTCGAGGCCTCTTTCTCTCTTTAGGTCTCTATTCTGGTCTGTCTATATTTAACATCTTTTCTGATGGATGAAGCCTGACTTCCACACTCACACATGCAGTCAGGAGGAAACCAATGAAAGTTTAATAGCCATGTGGCAGCTGGTATTGTGCCATCTGGATAAAGATAAACCTGACACATGTACACATCCCACAGCCAGTCAGCGACCAGGTGACAGAATAGTGTTATGGAAAGATAATATTGACTGTCCTTTATCTGATTGGTAGTTAAGTTTGTTTACTGGTAGAGACAAAAGCAAGACACAGCTTTTGTTTTCTCAATAATCAACCCAGTACATCAAGCACATTTAAATGGAAGATTAGCTGCAACATGATATTGCTCAGAGATTTTGGTTCATATATTTTTTTGTGAATTCAAACAGATGGCACCTGCTTTCAGGTTAGCCTTTCTGAACAAAAGGTTCCTTCTTAACAAATATCAAATATATATATATTTTTTTATTTACTTACATCTTATCACTTAAACAACTCTCTTTCATTTAATAGTCTTAAGATCCCTTGATTAACGGTGGCCCAGATGAGTCAGGTCAAAAACAAAAGCCACAAAAAAGTATATAAATGATGCATGAGAAGAAATCACATACATGGTGCTTAAAACATGTTTGAAATTTCATCTTTAATTTTGTGAAATCTGTTTTAAAAACATGATTAAAACATCCCAAGGTGGATGTGAAATTAAACATGTTTGGTTGGCTTAAACTCTTCAGTGCTAGATTGTACCCAAACAAATAGGGTATAAAATGGTCAAACCTGCTAATATAGAAGTTGATAATATATGATGTTTTATGTGAGACCAATTAAATTACATCTTCTATGGGAAACTGGAAAATATGTCCCATGTAAAACCTCAGGAATTGGATATGAAATTTAAATACAGTACACACCATGTGTGAAACCCACTGGATTACACCTCACATTTGTAGCCAACTGAAATACATAATATAATGTGAAACCTGTGAAATTAAATGTCCCATCTGAACCCAGAGTAATTGCCTGTTTCACATGAAAGCCCTGGAAATGTATATCTGATGTGTAGCTGATAGAATGATGTGCCCCATGTAAAAACTATTCAATAATATGACCATCTACTGGATAACATTTCTTACCTAAAACCCATTAAATTAACCTGTTAAATTGCATGTCTTACTCTAAAACCGTTTCAGTTTTTGTCCATATGAAACTCCATTAGTTAGATTTGATATATATCATATAAATCCATGGGAGTAGAAGTTATCTCTGCTTTAAAACATGAACCAATCATTCTTGCTATTAAACAATATTAAACAATGGAAGTCCCTCTGAAAAAGTGTAACACAAGTGCACAATTATTTGTTATTGTTAGGTCAATCATTTCTTTTAGGAGCAGAGGTACTGACATATGGTAGCTTGTGAGTGTAACCGCTCACAATAATATGATAAAAGAAAGCACATTTTTAAATCATCTTCTGCACCTTATATTAGTGATTAACATGGCTTGTGCACCTGGCTTTACCAAATATTCACAATCTTTGGTTTTGTTAATCATGACATGTCTGGACATATAATATGAAAAACTATTTTTTGAACCTCTTTCAGCTCTTATTGTTAATGTGAATTTAGTTTCGGACCTCACTGATAATAAAACCTACACACTAACCTGATAATTGCTGGTCACCTCTTAGGGTTTTTTTTTTTTGCTACATTTCTTGAAAGTGTGTATCTGAACCATGCTAGACTAAGATAGTCTAGGTAAGTTTCTTTAAATATTTTGACAGTATTTGAGCAAACGCTGTCTCAAAGTGGTGAAGAGCAACTGATGTGACGCACTGATGTGACCTGTCTCTTGCAGAGCAATGACGTAGAGGGCAGCATGTGGAACTGGATGTATTACATCCCCCTTATCATCATTGGCTCCTTCTTTATGCTCAACCTGGTGCTGGGTGTACTTTCAGGGTATCGTTTGAGCTTTTTCTTACTTATTTCACTTTGCTTCTTTACATTTAAGAATGTGTTTACATGCACACTTTGGAATATCGTGATGATTAGAGCAACTAGGAACATAAAGTAAATGTTCCCACAGTGAATTTGCCAAAGAGAGGGAACGGGTGGAAAACAGGAGTGAGTTCCTGAAGCTGAGGCGACAGCAGCAGATCGAGAGAGAGCTTAATGGATATTTGGAGTGGATCTGCAAAGCAGGTCAGTTCATGCTTAAAAACACATTGCTCCTGATAGACAAAACTCAAGGATCTACGTTTACATCTATCGGCCATTTTATTTTACAGAGGAGGTAATTCTGGCAGAAGAAGATGCCACCGGAAACTTTGATGGTAAACACAAGTCTGTCTTTGACAGTCTTTGTCTTTGGGGTGGGGGGGCAACAGAACTGTATAAAGAACCACAATTGGTAATATTTGTTCAACTTTTATTTATTTAATCTCCAAAAGTTGGTATATAACTGAATGTGTTGTTTCAGTGGCAATATGAGGAGTAATTCAAATGTGAAAATTAATAAATCAGCAAAGGTACTTTAGCACTTTAGACTGACCTCTCAGAAATTAATGGATATAAAAGACATTTTGCCTTTTTTTGTGTCTTTCTAGGTTCGAGACGAAGGCCAACTATCAAAACCAGAAATAACAAAACAGAGCTGCTAAATCAAGAGGAAGGAGAAGACAACATAGGAGATGCAGTAGGTAAGAAAGTTTGAAAAATGTATGATTGATTAAAGATGTCGATAAACTTTAAAAAATAGAAGCAAATCAGCCTTCCAAAAAGTTTTCTTCTTTTTTTTCTTCTGGATATTATGCTCCTTATTTTTAAACTGTGGGTGATGTATTGCCTTCTTGCCTATAGGCTTCGCTCGCTCTAGCATTAAGAGCGGTAAGGACGGCTCTAACTACAGCAAAAAAGAGCGCCGATTGCGATTCTTCATCAGGAAGATAGTGAAGACACAGGCTTTCTATTGGACAGTGCTCTGCCTTGTGGGCCTCAACACCATCTGTGTGGCCGTGGTGCATTACGACCAGCCGGAGCTTCTTTCCGACTTTCTCTGTGAGTAAATACAAAGACTGGTTCTAATCTACACTGGTGCAAATCCACAAGTCGCAGTATGAAAAAAAACTTTTCCACTGTTATACTACAGTAAAAACCAAACAGTTGCTTTTCCCTGTATTGCAAAACTGAGCAGTAATTATACTTCTCACATATCTCTTATCGTGTGTTTTACAAATAGGGCTTAGGATTACTTACGGTTTGAAGGTCAGGGAGGAGACGAACCAGTCAATGGGGAGGAGATAAATGAAAATATTTGTCACATTCTCCAAAATGTGCAATTTATCAAACAACGCAGAGTCTACACCTTATGAACAAAGGACATTCTTTTGAGGACCAGAATGTTCACATTTTGGACAAAGAAGACAGGTGGTTTGAAAGGGGTGTGAAGGAAGCCATTTATGTAAAGAGAGAAAAACCAACATTAAACAGATGTGGTGGACTCCAGCTCTCAAAAACCTGCAACGCAGCGATAGAGTTGATTCCTTCCCGCTATCATAATCTATAAAATACAACAATGAATAGCTGTAATTTGTTAATAAAGTTTTCAAATCAATTCAGAGACAAATTAATGTGCGGAACTAATACAATGAATATGATTAAAACATTTTTTTTTACATACAGTATATATCCTTCAGAAGGTTTGCTTTCCTAAAAAAAGATGCAAAGGTGTTTGCATTTGGAATTTAGCAGAAAGCGTGTGCAAACCATTTTTTGCCAGTGTTTTTAAGCAATATTCAGATCATATTTAATGACCAAACTGCATAAATTTGTGCAACTGTAAATATTTATAACGTGCAAAAACAATATTCCTAATTGTAAACTCAACAGTTTTGGGGTCTGTTCTAGTACTCCTGAGAGTCAGGTGCAAACAGACATGCAAAAATATTATTTTTTTAAACATGCAAAAATATTATTATTGTTGCTACAAAGAAGGCTTTGGTGCGATGACAGAAGATAGAGACGGTCTGTGCACATGCAAATATAATTAGAGAATCAGAAATAACAATATTAAAAGAATATTAATAAATACAAAATGTCTATATACATTAATGCAGCAGAAAATCTGAAATCTCTTTATCCAACTAAACCATATTAAAGAAAAATACTAAAATATTTCCACATTTTTTAAAAGGTTTTATCTCTTCACAACAGGAATGTTGTTGCTGAGCAACACAGAGACACACAAAGATACACAACCATGCACAACCTCACCTTTCTGTTATGGCCACCCTTAAACTATCTGTATAGAATGCAAACTGCTAATTTTATGGGCGGAACTAAACTGGTTTTTACATCTTAACCAGCAACATGCCCACTTATTGCACGTTCTAACAAAATAACACATGCAGTTTAACTCCCATATTTGGTAGTTTTAATGATTAGACTTAAAAACTAAAATTTAGAGAAACATAAAGATAAATCTTAGCCTTGATTTAAAACCACGGTCAGTGTGTATTGACCAATCCTAAAAAATAACTGAAATAATTAAACATTCTGTCAACCAACAATTTACCATAATATCTGATCAAATTTGACTCATTTTAATTAGCACAGAATTTATTTTTTATAAGTGAAACTAAATTATCTCCAACTGTGTTCAAAAGTGTCTATCATAACATTTTTCGTGAGTTTGTGTTATATAAGTTATTTGAATATAGAAAGTGGTTTATTAAGTTACAATAATCTGAGCTTCCTTTGTTATGATGTAAACTACCATTACTGAAAACGATCTGAAAATCTGAAGATATAATTTATTATTCTACACAAAATGAAACCATAATGCAGAAGCAACACAAAAATTCACCTGTAATCGATCTACAGAGCCTCATGTTGATAGACTGTACCTCAAGGACAGTCTATGAGAATTTTATAATTGAATCACAGAATTACAAAGTAACAAGAAATGTAACAGGAATTCCACTTATTTTTAATGTTGTGAATCTAAAAAAGAAATTAGTGTTTATAAAGTGACTGCCTTTGTTTCTTAGTTTTTATTTTTTTACCGAAATGATCTACACCCAACTGATATGATGTTCTATTCTTACCCAAACCATCAGCATATCACATTATATTACGCTCCTTTTGCATTTAAATAAAAAAAAATTGTTTGTGTTTAAGCACAGATACTAACTTAAGCACCTTTTTGTACACTTGAACTGTAAAAACATAGTTTTCATAGAAAAACTGTTTGCTTTAATATTGATTCCAAGTTTTTCCACTTTATGTTTCAAAGTTTGCTTTCTCTACCTGCAAACATAACTTCACTTTTCTATGCATCTTTTTGGGATAAAGCTCAACAATTTACAACATTCACAACATTTTGCACCTTTCTTTATACTTTCATTTTGCATATCATAGCTTAGACCATTTTACACTTTTTAGTCTATTAGTTATTTTTTATTGTTTTGATATAATCTAACTCCTAAAATGTACCTCTTAGCTAATTTAATAGATCAACAAAAAATATAAATAAATAAAAAAAATTGTTTTGCCACTTTTTCAACTGTAGCTGAGGTCTACCATATTATTTATCCTTTTAATGTCAGAGATATGTTGGTATTGACATAAAAAGCGACACTCAGCAGAATCACCTTGTTGTCTCTGGCTGCTGTCCAGCATCATTAGCATATGAAGCTGTACAGTACTTCCTCATGGAGTCCATTCATCACCGCACTGTCATACACACTTCCACTCAAGCCACAATTGACTTCTACTCCTTTCAGTCTCTGCGTCTCACACATACATACTAGTCTCTGACTGTAATTTATACCATTCCTACATTTATTCTTGCTTGTTCTAATATTATCTTACATTTACAGTATGTTTCTATGGTACTGGTTTATAAAAATTCTCTCCTCCTTAACTTCTTCCTCTTTTTCACTCTTAATGTTTTCCTATCCTCTCTCCTTCCTTTTCCCGTTCTTCCCTCCTGCAGTCTATGCAGAGTTCATATTCCTCGGTTTGTTCATGTCTGAGATGCTGATCAAGATGTATGGTCTGGGCATCCAGCCCTACTTCCACTCGTCATTTAACTGCTTCGACTGTGTGGTGAGTGCTCCAGCATTTTCACAAACCTACACAAAAGCCATGACTTCATAAAAAATAAAAGTAAAAAAAGACTGTGAATTTTAAACCAATCCGACTTGAATTTTGTGAATTAATTCTCGCAAGTAGTGTTGCAAAACAGTGTAGTAGTTTATTTTATTTTTGAAATTACAAAGCAAATGAACTAGTAAATGCTCTCTTCACTTTCTAAGATGTCTTGAGCTACTTGAACTGTTACCTTGACTATTTTAATAGATCCCCTTTAAGCCTCCTACAATTCCACAAACAAGATTAAAATAGTTATGTTCTTGCTGTGCGAGTAAAGTATGGTTTCAGTGTACACAACTATTATTCTCTGTTTCTTTTGCAAAAGTAATACATTTGGTACATTTGAATCACAAATGAGGTTTTGGAAAAGTGTAGCATAGGGAGACTTTTGGGTTTATATGGCTAAAACACTGCTGATTTATCCTCTCTGCAGCCTGCACTAAATAACCACAGTGGAAATGTATGTTTGCTTGTTTTTTGTGTGTGTGGGATTACAGGTAATTGTTGGCAGCATCTTTGAGGTTGTGTGGTCCACCATAAAACCAGGCACGTCATTCGGCATCAGTGTGTTACGAGCTCTCAGGCTGCTGCGCATCTTTAAAGTTACCAAGTAGGTCTCGCTCCTTTTTTTAAACTTCATTCTGCAAACAAAACATCACTGTGATGCTGGAGATACTTACAGTATAAGATCAGTTGTAATCACGGTATTTATGTCATTTTAGCTCTTATTCGGCTATTTCTTTTGGAAAATTTACAAATGTTTTTGGCTCATATTACACTGAATGGTGCATATATTATATCGAATGGTGCATGGAATCCTAATTTTGGTTTCTGGGAGCATAAGAAAGAAACAGTTTTTTCTGAAGCAATAAGTCTTGAGTTTAATAGCCTGTTTTCATTTCATAGCAATACGTAAATAATATTTTCTTTTATTTGAGATTCCAAATCTCCAAATCCAAACCTTTTAAAAGTTTAAGAGACACTAGGAGACACTTTCCTATGGTGGTTTTATAAAGGGCTATGGAAGCGCAGACCTTGACTTTACCTACCCAAAATGTTTAACCTTTACTATCTTTAGATTATAAAACAGATTGCATTGAAATTTTGAAGTCTTAAAGTCTAAATGATACAAGCTAAGTGTCATACTAGGAGAGTAAAAACCAAAAACAAATATCAGACTGAAGTAAAAGCTAAAATAAATAAAAGATACCACAAGTATTACAGGTTTATTTTAGGAAAGAGTAAATATTAGAAAACAAAAAAAAAAGTGACAGGATGAGGAGAAGAAGCTGGGAAGGTTACAGAAACTTGCTGGAGAGACGATGCTATTAAGGCCAAAACATCATGGGAAAGTAATGTGTCAAAGTGTTCTTTAGTTATGAAATATTCAATTTAAAGAACACCTTGATAGTGGGTCATTGATACTTTATGTATTTTCCTTTACAAAAATTCTCTGCACGTCTTAAAAAGCTCCTTTTCCTCCTCAGGTACTGGGCGCCACTTAGAAACCTGGTGGTTTCTCTCTTGAACTCCATGAAGTCCATTGTCAGCTTGCTCTTCCTCCTCTTCCTCTTTATTGTGGTCTTTGCTTTGTTGGGGATGCAGCTTTTTGGAGGACAGTAAGAATCAATGCAAAGCTTACAGATGCCTAATTTAAGGGGTCATTATTGTATGTCTGCTTTGTTCTGTTTGCTCTAACTTACATGGTATTTTGATCTCCTTAGATTCAACTTTGAAAGTGGAACCCCGCCGACCAATTTTGATACTTTTGCAGCAGCAATCATGACTGTGTTTCAGGTAAAAAAAAAAAAAAAAAAAAAAAAAGCTCCTGGTAGTTCCTTTTTTTTAATTATAATAAAAGACATTTATATCTTTATAGTTTTATTTGTGATGGGAATCTGTCATTGAAAAGAAAATACAATCCAGTTTTACAGCAACCTCTTCAGTAAGTCCCTGTCACACCTTGTCGATTTAGCCAGCGTATGCCCGACGTCCCAGAATATCCTAAAACGCTGGCATATGCTGAACTTTCTTTTTTTTTCAATGTTGGGTGTGTACATAGCGTATTCATAATGAGTCCAGAATTTATGTCCAACAGCAGCCTAACTTATGCATAGCGCACGGTAGCGTAATGCCCATTAAATGACGCACAAGCATCAAGTTACTCACCTTATAGGTAACTTACACTTAACGTGTGTCAACGACCAGATAACTTATCTGTAACTTATGGCCCATGTATGGCATATGCTGGCATATGTCGGGAAATTTTAGGCATGCTCAAAATTTCTCGACGTACTTGTCGTATGTCAATGTGAACCAGCGTGCTTCAACGTGCTCATAACTTATACAAAACGTACCCATAACTTTCAACGTATGCCAGAGTTTTTGCCAAATTTTTGGTACATCAGGCATATGCTAGTCCAAATTGTCAAGGTGTGCAAGGGGCTTTATAATTGCAAAGCCTTTCAGAGGTGTCTGTACCCCTGTAAAGGCGTTCACATTTTCACGGTACAATCACAAAGCTAAATGTATTTTATTAGAATTTCATTTAAAGGACCAACACAGAGTAGTAAAACGTTTTGAAGTAGAAGAAAAATTATGCATCTACTCATTAAGTTCAAGTAATATATAAGATCAGCTTGTAGTTTGCAGCAAGCCATATGGAGGACACAGCAAACACACAGGGGAAACTGGAAGTCACCAGAAGATGAGATAAAAATCTAACTTTCATCTGTAAACAAAACATGTGTTTAGTGGAAACATAACACCAAATATGACCAGGAATCCACCGTCTCTTTCATGAGACATGGTGGACTTAGTGTCATGCTCTGAGGGATGCTTGATAGGAAGATAGATGGGGCACTTTTGCCATAGATTTGAGATTAAGGTGGGGGTTTGCTTTCCAGCAGAAAGATACCTTAGATATACTCCTGGAGCTGAACTGGAATGAGAGTTTCAAAATGATACCAGCATGAATAGCATAGAGACCAATTAAAGGCACAGAAATGTGTGGTTGCAAGATAATATGTAATGGTCAGGGTGTCTGAAAAACACAATGAGTGATTTAGTTGCCATTAAAAACCTAAACCTGCAGGTTTATGAGGGATCAGTTGGTTAATTCTGATTCCTATGCTTAGGAAAGTCCAAAGTAATTTCCTTTAGAAACCAAATAAAAAGAATTTAATGTAAATGTTCATTTTAAGAAAAGTTATATGTGAAATTCATTGCATTCCTCTACCATTGAACTTTTTAGCAAAAAAATGATTTCATCAAAGAAAACATTAATTGATTCATTATTATACGCTAAACAATTGATATCTAACCATTTCTACAACATCATCAAACGTTTTGCTTCAGCTGTTGATGTAATTCAGTGGGGCATATTTTTTCTTAAATAGGTGGGAAAGAATCGGTGGGCTTAATCAATATTAGCTGTGATGAGAGGATGATATTTATGGATCATATTTATATTTCAAAACAAAAAGTCATTAAGTACATTAAGTGTAATTAAACTATGATCTTTATTGGAGATAAAGTTCCACATTTTTTTTTTGTTTGTTTTTTTTTTTATTTTATTTATCCTTTATTTAACCAGGTAATAGATAGGCATCAAAATTACATCACATCATTACATACGTACAAAGCCACATTTTTTTATTTTGTTATATATTTTTTTCACTCTGACTCTTAAGTTATCAACAGAAAATATAAATTCCTCTTCTTTTTTCTCTTTAGATCCTGACAGGAGAGGATTGGAATATGGTGATGTACGATGGCATTGAGTCACAGGGAGGAGTAAACGACAAAGGAATGGTGTTCTCCATCTTTTTCATTGTCCTCACACTATTTGGCAACTGTATCCTGCTTCACACTTGCAGACACTAAAATGTACATTTTAAGTATGGAGGAAATCCTGCAGACTTAAATAAGTTTATTGTTTTGGTAAAATCAACTACTATAAGCTCTTCTGAGTGAAATATGTTGTTGTTATTTAGGCTATCCCTTAAAACATATTTATACTGATCGTTTGAATTTTTTTCATTGTCTTTTTTCGCTAGTTATCCTAATAATCCATGGACAACAGGTGTGCTTATGATTTGTTCTCCTTCATTTCTCTTGTTGCATTTAGTTATTTTTATCTCCAGCTTTTTAAAATGATGCAGTTTTCCCTAACTACCTCCTGAAAGACACACTGCTGAATGTCTTCTTGGCTATCGCTGTTGACAATCTGGCTAACGCCCAAGAGCTTACCAAGGTATGGGGCAACTTCTTATTAATATTATTGTTTAATTTGCCCCTTTTTTCTATCCAGTATTAAGGGATGTGTGGCAATGTTTCTAAATTTACAGCACCACAATTTTAACATTGATGGCTTGTTTTATAGGACGAAGAAGAACAAGAAGAGGCAGCAAATCAAAAGACAGCACTACAGAAGGCTAAGGAAGTGGCAGAGGTTAGCCCGCTATCTGCTGCAAACCTGTCAATTGCTGCGTAAGTACACACACTTAATGTCAGTGAGCACAGAAATACATTATGAATGTAGATCTGTTTAAAACAGGGAGGCGCTTCCCAGGAATTTAAAATATCCACATTTTTGTCAGTAGGTGAATGATTAAAAAAAAGAAGGAAAGAAAACTAGTACTGATGTATTTCAAGTATTCATTTCTGCTGAATTGGGCGATTATGGGTAACAGTTACTACTAGACCAAACATTCAGCTTCTCAGACAATAGAATATTAGATAAGACCAATGCACAATTGTTATTAATACATAAATGTTATGGTAATGATTGGATTGATTTTAGTGATGATGCTGCCAGCAGTTGCATGTTGACTTATAAATAAAATTCACCATTATGTTAAGGGATGGTATAAATCACAGTTATCTTTATGGGGAAATGTGCAATCTAGGGCTGGGCAAGTAATTGCATTTTAAATATAATTGCAATTTAAGAAACTATAATTTTCAAATCACAGAGGGACTCAATTTTGATCACGTTACATTTAACAAGACTAAGAGTCTAATTATTTCCCACTCTAGCCCTTTAAATGGGCATTATATGTTTAAAGTTGGTTTACTTCCATTATAAAGGAAATAAACTTCCTGCTAGCACGCAGATCTATGCATGAAAGTAGAAAAAAGCACTTTTCTAAAAAAAAAAAAAAAATGTTAAGATTGCAATTAAGTCCTACCATAATGGACTTTGTACAAGCTAGCTTTTAAGGAAAAAAAAAAAATGAAACCCTGGACTAAAACATCTACATGGTTCAAATTTGGTTGAAAATAATCATTTTATTTTTTGTAAAATCGATCTATTAAAATTACAATTTTTACAAAACATAATGATCTTTTTGTTTTTTACCAGTAAATATTTTGCTGCTTATATTCAAATAAATTCAGAAAAAAACATTTTGTCAGTTTTTTTCTGGCTGGAAAAAAAGCTTAAAATTAATATAAAAGGCCTGCAGAAAAAAAAGAAGACATTTTTATTGGTTTGGTTTTTCCATATATAAAACTGCATAAGGAATCATAATGTGTGCAAAATGTATCTAGATTTGGTGAAAGGACAGAGATAACATTATGGTTCGATCTGGAAGCAGAATCCTTCAAACCGTTCAATCTAACTGACTCTCTCGGTCAATGTCCAAACCTCTATAGAAAGAAGCCCACTATCAGTCATACTACAGTGGTGTGAAAAAGTGTTTGCCCCCTTCCTCATTTCCTGTTTTTTTGCATGTTTGTCACACTTAAGTGTTTCAGAACATCAAACCAATTTAAAAAATAGTCAAGGACAACGCAAGTAAACACAAAATGCAATTTGTAAATGAAGGTGTTTATTATTAAAGGAGAAAAAAATCCAAACCATCATGGCCCTGTGTGAAAAACTGATTGCCCCCTAAACCTAATAACTGGTTGGGCCACCCTTAGCAGTAACAACTGCAACCAAGCGTTTGCGATAACTTGCAATGAGTCTTTTACAGCGTTCTGGAGGGAATTTGGCCCACTCATCTTTGCAGAATTGTTCTAATTCAGTTACATTAGAGGGTTTTCGAACATGAACAGCCTTTTTAAGGTCATACCACAACATCTCAATAGGATTCAGGTCAGGACTGTGGCTAGGCCACTCCAAAGTCTTCATTTTGTTTTTCAGCCATTCAGTGGTGGACTTGCTGGTGTGTTAAGGATTAGTGTCCTGCTGCAGAACCCAAGTTCGTTTCAGCTTGAGTTCACAAACAGATGGTCGGACATTCTCCTTCAGAATCTTTTGGTAGACAGCAGGATTCATAGTTCCATTTATCACAGCAAGTCTTCCAGGTCCTGACGCATCAAAACAGCCCCAGACCATCATACTACCACCACCATATTTTACTGTTGGTATAATGTTCTTTTTCTGAAATGCATTGTTCCTTTTACGCCAGATGTAATGGGACACACACCTTCCAAAGAGTTCCACTTTTGTCTCATCAGTCCACAGAATGTTTTCCCAAAAGTCTTGGGGATCATCAAGATGTGTTTTGGAAAAATTGAGACGAGTTTTAATGTTCTTTTTGCTCAGCAGTGATTTTCTTCCTGGAACTCTGCCATGCAGGCCATTTTTGCCCAGTCTTTTTCTAATGGTGGAGGCATGAACGCTGACCTTAACTGAGGCAAGTGAGGCCTGCAGTTGTTTGGACGTTGTGGGGTCTTTTGTGACCTCTTCAATAAGTCGTCGCTGCACACTTGGGGTAATTTTGGGCGGCCGGCCACTCCTGGGAAGGTTCACCACTGTTCCATGTCTTCGCCTTTTGTGGATAATGGCTCTCACTGTGGTTCGCTGGATTCCCAAAGCTTTGGAAATGGCTTTATAACCCTTTCCAGACTGATAGATCTTAATTACTTTCTTTCTCAATTGTTCCTGAATTTCTTTGGATCTCAGCATGATGGGTAGCTTTTAAGGATCTTTTGGTGGACTTTACTGTTTCAGGCTGCTCCTATTTAAGTAATGTCTTGATTGAAAACAGGTGTGGCAATAATCAGGCCTGGGTGTGGCTAGAGAAATTGAACTCGGGTGTTAAAAACCACAGTTATAGCATATTTTAAAGAGGGGGGCAATAACTTTTTCACACAGGGCCATGATGGTTTGGATTTTTTTATCCTTTATTAATAAACACCCTTATTTACAAATTGCATTTTGTGTTTACTTGTGTTGTCCTTGACTATTGTTTAAATTGGTTTTATGTTCCGAAACACTTAAGTGTGACAAACATGCAAAAAAACAGGAAATGAGGAAGGGGGCAAACACTTTTTCACACCACTGTATAAACTTTTGGCAACAAGTGCATAAAAAAGGGTTTAGCTCCTTTCTCAACACACCTATTAATTATCAAAGACAGGAAGTAAGACCTTTATTCGGAAAGACTGGTTCTCTTGAGAGATAACCCACCGACCAAAATTTGGTTGAAAACCGAAAGGTGGAAAGCCGTAATTTTCAGATCACTAAAAAGACGTTGGAAACAGGGTTTGCAACGTCTTATCAACATCTATTATTAGTCTCAAGTGGGACTAAATCAGATCAACCAAACACAGCCCAATTTTCAACAAATATTTCTGGACAAAATCATGACTATAGCCACTTTCCCTTTGAAAATCTGGGTTTTTTTAAAACCAGATTGACCCGCTTAGAGTCGACTTTCGGCTCTTTTCCCATTTTAATGGAAAAGCAGAGTCTGACCACCTGCTGGCAAGCTGATGACACCATCATGCTGGGTGAGCATTGGCGATGTTGACAGTGACACGCAAATCAGGGAAGTAAATAATGGAGAGCAACATGGGTTGGAGCCAGAGTATAGTTCGTATTCTTTATTATTTTGGTCTGTCTATCGACATCACATCAAGTTAGCATCCTTTATAGTTTCCTGGTGAAGGACAGTAGCCAGGTCAATGTGGATTAGAGAAAATATGGGAGAAATAACTCAAGACAAGTTAAAGAAGATAAAATTAATTTTACAATATGGTAGAAAATATGCTCAGTGGTATTAGAGATGTCAGATCTAAATTGATTCAATTGAAAATATACAACATACTCTACTGGACTCCTGTCCAGATGCAGCAGGCAGGGTTTTCCAGCTCACATTTACGTTGGAGGCGTAACTTAGAAAGCAGGGATTTTGTTCATATGCTTTTTTAGTGCACATCCTTAAAAAACATGTTGGCAGATGGAGCAAACCAGTAATATATTAAAAGAAAACATAAAGCCAGGACCCTCCCGGTGCATCGTGAACCAGGTACAGTTGCTAACAGAAATAAAACCTTAAAAGATAAATTGCTACATAGCCCCAGTAATGGCAAAGAGTCGGAGGAAACTTTAACTCTTCAACGAGATATGAGAATCCTTTAAAGAAAAAAACCAAACAAAAAGAACAGGTACAGTAAAAATGAAAACAGTTATCAAATTGCGTAGACTGGCGAGCAGGATGGATGGGATCCGAAGAAAGCACAGGGGAGAAGTAGGGGGTGTAAGAAAAAAATTAACAGAATCATGCTTGTTTTTATTTCAACTGTTTTGAATGCCTTCAGCGGTTACGTAGGATTGATTCTGGAGATGCTTGCTTGTTTATTATTGTTTATATCTTTTATAATATGGCAACAAGAAACAGATGTTTTCTCTTCTTTGAAAACATGTCGAATACATAAAAATGTTGCATGATTCCTACTTGTCTAGCAGAGCCACACTGGCGACCTCCATGAAGAAGGTGGACCTCAATACAAAAAAATCCAGTTTCTACCAGTCATTTAAGATACTCTCCCTGTTCTTTGAAGTGCTCCAGCTATCACCATAATCCTCATCACCATGCAGGGGACCAAAACATCTTGCCTGGTCAGCCAGGCCAACAACGACCTTAACGACTTTCTTTTCGGAGGCCTGGTCCAGTAGTGGGTTTTGCAGGCCAACATTGATTCCCCATTACTAAGGGGTGGACTTAATAATTTTTTTTTTGTTCAATTTGCATATTTCTAAGGCATAACAAGGCTTTTGTTTGTGCCACTCTACAAGCCTGGAACTCAAAGTCAAGACATTTTGAATTGAGAAAGGTTTCTGAATGGGAAACGAAACGTCTTCAAACCTTGAAAACAAAGTCCAGTGATTTTTTTTTTTTTATACTTTTTTTGAATGACTATGCCCTGGGTGACTGAGAATCTTCACCAGCATACTTCCCCCTTCTGATATTTACGACGGAGTATTAGGGCCACACATGAAGAGAAAAAATATTTTTGCCCTGATGAGATTAAACTCGACGTGTCGACTTTAAACTCGCCATTTCGAGAATAGTTGAAATGACTGACATGTTCTCAAATTCAGAACTGTGAGCCTGGGTAAGCATAGGGAAAGACGTTACCGGTACGTTATGCCGTTAGGCCACCACTTCCTGTGATGAGTATACAGTTGCAGCACGTCAAAGACTTCCTTCACTCTTAAAACGCAGACTGCAGCTGTGGAGCGCGGTTGCTCTTTTCTCCAAACTTTGGAATGTCGAGAATAAAGTCGCCACGATATATCAACTTTATTCTCGAAATGGCGACTTTAAAGTCGACAGGGAGAGTTTAAAGTCGACACGTCGAGATTAAACTCAACGTGACATTTCAACTTTATTCTCGAAATGTTGAGTTTAATTTCGACATGTCGACTTTAAAGTCGACATGTCGAGTTTAATCTCGTCATGGCAAAAATATTTTTTCTCTTCATGTGTGGCCCTAATACTCCGTCGTAGATATTCACTCCGCAAAGATACTGATTTTTAATTTCCTAAGTAGAACCTGCCACTTAAGCATTAAGCCTAAAATACCAGTGCCTGGTTTATGATGGTGGTACAGTATCACTGTGCTTGAATGTCCAGTAAGCTCTACTGATCTCATCAAATGAAGAATCAGGCTAATATTTTGCAGGAGGAAGATGTAAACTATTCGCCTTACCTACTCTTATTAATTTCAAACAAAAAAATATTTTTTTTCTTGTGCCCTCTATCTACATAGTATGTTAATTCCATCTTTAAACTGATTTAGTTAGATCAATTAACTGCATGTGTTGAGATGCACCTTCGTGGAAATACAGTTATAACTAAATGTGCATTTTTTATAAAAAGTCTTGTGTTTCTATCTACATTGCTTTACATGCATTTGCAAACAAAAATCTCTTTGACTAAAACATTATGCACATGTACTGTACAGAAAAGCCAGAAAACACGTGTAGTGTAATTCTTTTACAGATGCCTCTCATCAGAAGTGATTGGCAGGCATTCACAAACACACAAAGTGACACATTGTCCTATAAAATGTGATTAGGCAATTGTTCCCTGAGTGAAAAGAACAGATTCAGGGCTTTGTGGAGTGTAGAAAAGCGAGAGGCGGAAAGTCTAAACTCTGTTCCTTGCTGAAGATAAATGCTGACAATAGGACACATCAAAACACAGCTCAAATAAACCTGCTGCCTCTTTCAAAGTCACTTCGAAGGCTCTTCAGGCTCTGTAGTTAACCAAGGCTTGGACTGCAAGATTTGAAGTAGCTTGTTACCCACATTAATTTGTTGCTGTAAAGAGTGGAAACAAGGAAGCCCTATAAAATAAGTGTTCTTTTAAGAACAACTCTCACATATTGTGCAGTACTTTATGAAAATCTTTGAGATTTTCAGCACATCACTATTTATTCTGCTGTTTTTACTTACCTCTCTTTTTTTATTGGCTTCTGTTTGACTTTTCTCCCCTGCAACATTTTTATCTTATCTGCACATTATTTTATCCCCACGTCTCCCAACAGAAAGGAGCAGCAGAAGAACCACATCAAGGGTAATAAGTCTGTGTGGGAGCAGAGAACCAGTGAGATTCGGCGCCAGAACCTGATGTCAAGCCGTGAGGTGCTCTACAATGAGCTGGAACAGGATGACTGGAAGGTGGGAGGCGAGGGAGAAGAGGTGGGTAGTAACCTGCACACTGCCCCCGTCCCCAACATCAAATATATCTACCTTTGCAGCCTACTCCTGATTAGACAGTAGCCATTATAAAATTTTGACAGTGTCATATGTTAAGCAAAAAATTCATGGTAACAAAGTGATTGCAGCTCTAAATTGAGTTATTTTTTTAATGTTGGAATTAATAAAGAAGGGAAAAAAAGATTAAATGTTTGCATGATTTCTAAAGCATAATCTCTAGCCATAGTCATCGTTATTTGTTGGTAGATGCTGTTTCTGTTACTTTTAGAAGCAACACAAATAAAAAGTATGAACAAATACACACTAAGTGCACAGCTACAAAGCAATTTGGTATTTTCACTTTTCCCTTAAAACTAATCAAATATGTAACCCAAAAACTTCAAAATACTGTGGCTGATAGCTTGTTACTACAGTAACACAATCACCAAGATGCATCGGTAGCTGGTTGGTAGTATTCATTTCACTATTGCCTCACATTAAAGGTAGTTTAAATTTCAAGACCCCAAAAACTTTAGCTTGAATTTAGCAAGGTAATGTATTTTTAGATCGATGATGCTATCATTGTTGCTGCATTATTTCCTCTGGTTTCCACTGTACAAACACACGTAGGGCAAACTTTTATATACAAGGTGTTGACGTCTGTGTTTTTGCATTGGACTAGGTAGTCTCATATAAAGTAGTTGACTTTAACTAGTTTACTAATGCGTTTCATAGCTTAGCAGTGTGTACAGTACATGGTGCCCTTTCTGAAAGGGCTAAAAATGGCGGAGGAATGTTCTGAGCGCTCCCCTCGCTCACTTCTTTATCTATTATACAACCTTTAGCAGCTACCCAACTGAATACACTGCAAAGACAACATACTTAACGTTCGAACTGGTAAACTTTGTTATTGGACTGATTCAAAGTGGAAAAGTGTTCTGTGGTCTGATGAGTCCACATTTCAAATTGTTTTTGGAAACTGTGGACGTCGTGTCCTCCGGACCAAAGAGAACAAGAACCACTCGGACTGTTAAGGGCTCAAAGCTCAAAAGCCCACATCTGTGATGATATGGGGGTGCATTAGTGCCCAAGGCATGGGTAACTTACACATCTGTAAAGGCACCATTACTGCTGAAAGGTTACATACAGGTTTTGGAGCAACATATGCTGCCATCCAAGTGACGTCTTTTTCATGGATGCCCCTGCTTATTTCATCAAGACAATGCCAAGCCACATTCTGCACGTGTTACAACAGCGTGGCTTTGTAGCAAAAGAGTGCGGGTACTCTCCTGGCCTGCCTGCAGTCCAGACCTGTTGAAAATTTGTGAGGCATTATGAAATGTAAAATACGACAACGGAGAACCCGACTGTTGAAAAACTGTACATCAAGCAAGAATGGGGAAGAATTACACCTGAAAAGTTTCAAAAACTGGTCTCCTCAGTTCCCAAACATTTATAGTGTTGTTAAAAGGAAAGGCGATGTAAGACAGTGGTAAAAATGCCCCTGTGCCAACTTTTTTGCAATGTGTTGCTGCCATTAAATTCTGAGTTAATGGTTATTTGCAAAACAAAATGAAGTTTCTCAGTAATGTGCATGTGATAGGATTTCCGACAGCTTAAGGGGATAGATCTTTAGTCTTCAAATAAAGATATATTTAATTTAATGTACTACCCCATAGTAAATAGTTTTATTATGCAGAATTAGGCCGAAGTAAAATTTTACAAGCTAAACTAAAACCACAAAGTCAGTTGTTGTTTTTTTTTTCTGTTTTTTTTTACAGTCACAGCTGCAAAGTCTGTATTGCAGTGTGTTTCCAGCTTTGTTTCTCTACACATAGAGATCTTTGAATCTCTTTGTCTCTTGTTTTTCTTTACAAAACAGCACGTTCCATCAGAATGGGCATAATGTGGAGGATATTTAAATGTAAATATTTACCACCCACAAACTGATTATACCGAATCTCAAAGTTTTTGCAATGCAGATTTCGCATATATATTTAGTATGTTTAAAAGTCAGGTGCAAAATCACATGCAAAAATATCATCATGGCTACAAAGGAGGTTTTGGTGCAATGAGAAGCGGTGGAGAGAGAGTCTGTGCAGTTATAAACATAAATGGATTAGATGGAATATTACGGTGGAAAAAGACATGTGCACGGATCATTACGAACTGTAGATATGGTATAATATGAACTTAAATTTTAATTTGGGCCTCATCTGAGCAGAGCACTTTCTTTCACCTGTCTGCTGTGTCCCCCACATGCCTTGTGGCAAGCTGGAGTATGTTCAGCTTTCTTTCAACAATCCTTCTAGTTTTACCACTCTTCCCAAATTACCGGATCTGTTCAGTGCTCTGCTAAAAGTTGACCCGTCAACAAATTCCCACACCTGGGATGAAGATCTCAGCGCTCTCTTATGGGTTAAATTCCTTGGTTGCTTTCTTATTCTCACACTCTTCTGCCCTGAGAGTCTAGGTGAACAGTATTTTTTTTAGCTTGTTTTCATATTTCTATAATATTTAAAAGGCTTATTCTTTGTGATTTTTACTTGATCTATCCAGTGCACGTCTTGGATGCCATAATACAGTCACAGTTTACTAATGTTCTTTAACAAACTCCTTGAGCTTCAGTGGTTAACCAAATGGATGATCTAACTAAAGATGAACTCTGTTTACTTAAGTGAGTTCTGGTAAAACTAGATTAATAAAGGCTTAAAGGGCTTAATAAAAATTCTTTACATTTCAGAAAAATAAATAAAACAAATAACTTAATTTCGTTTTACAGCTGTGAAGTATTTTTCACTGCTTTGTTACATAGATTTCTTCAGAGGTAACTCCTCTAAGTGTAACCATTTAATATCAAATCTTAAGTAATTAGTCTTTTTTTTTTTCTTTCTGCACTGATAAACTGAGAAACTATGCAGATTTTAAGACAAGGTGTGAGTTCTGGGTGTGGTTTATTTATGATGGAAATCTATGTCTTCATACAGTTATTCAAGTTTACTGGCTAACTTTAATACAGCCTCAACAGTGACTTTTTGATAAACTAATTCAGAGTTTCCTTCCAGATTTTAGTGCCTGTTTGATTCCATTTCAGCCCAGTTTCACCATGCCTTAGACAGACTGTACCTACGCAGGGTTTTGACCTGGTTTTTAGCCACCCTTCATACTGGGTCATGCTGTATCCACAGATCTTTTAACTCCAGGGTATAATATCCCTTTAAGCTTGTAAAAAAAAAAAAAAGTGTTGTCATTGCACTGCTATATGGGAAGACTTGAAGCTGCATGCTTGGGAGCATTGCATTATTAAAGTGGGCCATGCTGAGAAACTCAGAGCTGCACTCAAAGAAGGCAGACAAATCCAAACTGGAGCAGGTCAAAAACTAATCCAAGGAAAGACGATGAGGACTCATCTGGAAAATAGCTCAGCAAACTTTACATATAGAACCATAACAGCTTTAATTTAAGCTGTTTAGTGAAATATCAAAATGAACGGCTGGTTTGCCAAATTCTGTATAACTATGAATTTAATGCTCATTTTCCATACATTAAAGGTCTAGTTTTGAGAATGCTATTGCAATGGATAGCTGCTATGCTAAATCTTAACTAGCTTTTAAAAGGCTTTAAAAACATGCAAAATCACAATAATGTATATAGACTGCTTAAAAACGGTTTTATGCCATTTAGGATTTTCCCATATTTGGTCCAACATGATGACCATTAGGTTGCTAAACAGTAAACCAAAAGATCACACCCTTAATCTTCAAGTATTAATTACTTTAATGCAACTAACAACAGGACGTCTCTAGATGTTTATGCAAAACGTTGTTCACTCGCCATGTTTTTCCACCTGGAAAGGCCCGCCTTTTAGCAAATGTTTGTAGGCGCATGGAGGCCAAAAGTTTTTAGTTTGGCCACATGGGCCATGTAGACGCAACAAGCGTAAACCAAGCTTTATGTTGCCAATGTTATAAAAAGCTAAACTATTTGTATTTCTTTTATATTTACAGAATGTTTGAAGGTACAAAAAAAAATAAATAAATAAATAAATGCATAAAGGAATAAACATTTAACCTTAACTATCATCCTAGGTCAGGAGGTCATAATGTGTAACTTCAAATCTGCTCTGGTAGTTATTTGGGGAACACTGACACTCTTCTACACATGACACATATGTTTACAGATTACATTGTAATATTGAAATGTTTCTGTGGTAAAACTGTAACCTCAATCTAACTGGTGAGATCAGCTTAAATAGGGTATGGACCCCGTTCTTATCTTAAGAGCTGGTTACAACAACTCAAAAACTCAATGATAATGATAATCACGATTATTTTGACTGAAAGTGAGGTCTCGATTATTTAACATGATTGTTAACTTTCGAATGTCAAACATTTAAGAGAACAGACTAATTTCTCCAGTGGGAGACAAATGAAGTGAAATTTTTTCTTGATGCCCTTTGCCTTAGAACTTTTTGTAAGGGGGTGGGAGGGGGTGATATTTGATGAAAATGTCTAGGTACTTACTTGGAGACTATTATATCTTCTCTCCAATTTTATGACCAGTGGTAGCTTTAATTCTACTTGGATAAACTATTGGAGTCCTGCAGAGCTACGACACACAGCATCAGCAGAGTTAAATCTGTTGCACGCAGCAGCCTGTTGATCCAGAGGTTAACTTCTCTGAAGGAGGTTGTGATGCTAAACTTAATAATGATTATATTTGTAATAAAGTATAATCTTGAATGTTGCATCGCTACATTTCTATACCATAACATGATATCACCCAGCATCTGCGTTGTGAAATGTAGCATCAACTAGCTTATGGCAATGCCACTCGGACGGTATTGCACCCATTTCTTAAAAAACAAACTTCTTCTGAAGTCTCAACATATTATTCCCCATATTTGCTACTATTTTACAAATTTATCTGAGACCCAAAGTTGCAGAAAGTAGAAAACAAACTGAGCTCTGCCATTTAACAAGGTGACAAAAAAGTCTCAGTGCTTCATCTAATTCTTTTTATTAAGATCTGAGGGCAGGGGTGGACAAATGGAACATCTTAAAAATGACTTTTGTAGAGATTTTAGAGAAAGAAAACAACAGTTATTCTACTTGTATAAAACAAATGTTTGCTGTTGACACAAAGTTAAAAGTAGTGTAGCTTAATATGGCTAACTGACCGATCTAAAACAGTTACTTTGTTCACCATAAACATAATTTTTTCAGTATTGTTATGTATCAGGTAAAACCCAATCTGTCATTAGACACGCTAACGCTACAGATGCTCTCGACTTGGCACAAGAATGCTGCATTACGTCATTATCGTTGTCTGGGCAGTATCATGCCAAGCAGATCTGGTACCTAAGACGGCGGTGCAATACCCTGCTTTTCTCTGTTGCTTCTGATTTATTGTGCTGAGGGATTTGATTTATTTAAAACAAAGTTTACAGATGGCTTCCTTTAGGTTGCAGGGACTTCCCTGATCATTTGGCCTAAAACCGTAGATGTGATTTGCCCCCACAGCAGGAAGCCTCTAGAGACATCTGACCAAGATATAATAAGTTTGGAGCAGAATGCTTCGATGTGAGTGCCGCCTGATTTGAAACAGAAAACAGCATGAGTGAAGTGTAATAATTACATTTTTGCAATCCTTTTTACGATGCTTAAAAACCCAGATCTGATTGAGATTAAACATACGACAAATACAACAGCTTTAACATGACCTGCATCAAGAATTAATAAAACAGCTGTATGTACCTTACTGACAGCAGACCACTTTAGAGTTCATATTGCCAATTCTCTTATCCTTTGACCTGATATTGTAATAATTTCAGTTGAGTCACATGACCTTTTGATTTTTAGATCATTTCTACCACTTTAACTCAAACAACTGTTTTTATTTTTTAGTCAGTGTACTGAATATGATACTTTGGATACCCCAAGCCTTTTACATTGTATCATTCCAAACCTCTTTTCTTTATCTTCACCCAGGTGTCGTTCCCACGGAAAGCACGTGGCGACGTGAAAACACACTTGGACAGACCTTTGGTAGTAAACCCACAGGACAATCGAAACAACAACACCAACAAGACCCAACCTGGAGAGCTGCCTCTGGATCAGCAGTATCGACGCCAGGATATTGATCACCGCCGGCGTGCTGCTCACCACTGTCACTACCACCACCATCGCCATCAGAAACCCACTAACCCGAGCACTGTAGATACAAGCCAGCTTATGGAAACCAACTTGGGGCATGGTTTTAGCTGCACATCTTTGGGTAACATAGAAGAAAATCCGGAACGGCAACTGGATGAAGAGAAGAACAACCACCGGAGTCATCGGGGCCATCGGCACAGGAACAGAGAGTGCAGGGAGTCTCACAGCATTTCTCCGCATCATAGTGAAGGTGCCGAGGGTAGTGGTGAGGCAAGGAGGTGTAGACAGCACCGCAGAGCAGCCAGGGAGGGAGACGAGTGCAGAAAACATCTATGTAGGGCAGCAGAGGGAGATGGTGAGAAAAGCGGAGAGGAGGGTGGACAGAAGACAAGACGACATCGACACTGCAACCAGGAGAGATGCAGAGGACACCGTGTCAGAAAGTGAGTTAAGGGAAGGATCTATTTTCTAGATATAGTATACTGTATCTTGACATTGTCAAAAGTTAGAGTTAATGGTCTTCTAATGACGTATCTTGAATAATGGTTACTCTTGCTCAAAACACTCGAATGTATTAAAAGAATATTAACAGGCCTCTTCAGATCTTCATGGCATTGTAAGGAAATGAAACGGCCATTTAAAAACAGCAAATGCATAAACATCTAACACAGCTCTTTAACATTGGAGTTGTGACCTCATGATGTACTCATCAAGTTTGTCATTTTACAATTCAAATCTCTTTTTTTTAAGTCAAAAGATAACATTTTTAAAGTCGTAGGAAAGTCATATTTGAATGTCAAATCATTCTGGCTTAAACATGCATATAAATGTACTCTTTATCGGACTATATTGTATCGGACTATATTGTCCCAAAATTTAGAAAATTTCTATTTAAAAAAAAATCCTGTCTTAAAATCTAAATTACGTCCCGGTGTTCAAGGGGATGGACGTCTGTGTCTTCGGTAGGCGTAGAGCTAACAGAACTGGCAGCATTGCGAGGTAAGGGCTCAAACATGTACGGCTGTAAGCCTTCTAAACCAAACCAACCTTCTGCCGCCCTGGCATCCTCTTCCACAAAATCTTCTTCCCCGCTTTCCTCCTCTAAATAAATATGTATGACGGAGAATCATCCATGACCTCCGACACAAAACTCTCCTCCTCTTGCATGTTTCCGCTGTCCATAGCGTTCCTTGACAGCACGTAGTTGCTAACTGGTTAGCAAGATACTCCTTGATAATCGACCAATCCAAATCACTTTATTCACTTGTGTAAAGTCGAGCACCACTTGGGAGAATTCAGAAATGCAACGGTTGGAACAGCCACTTCCCTACGACTTTAAAGCAAAATAGGAACAGGAATTTCCATGGTTTTAAGAAATGTTATCCCATTTTACTGCTTTATCTCTTTAATGGATTTTTGTTCTCCTCATTTTGCTCCATTTGTGTTTCTTTCTGTTCTTTTTCCCTCTCCATTACCAATCCCAGGGAGCACCACAGCACCTGTCAAAGCCTCTCAACTACACGACCAATACAACAGTATAACGAAGACCTTGATAACTTTCGCAACAACAGCAAGCTTGCCAGTGCCAATGAGCACCCCTATGACCTTCCTCCTGATCACCCCGATCATCCGGACCACCTCAACAACCTGCTGAACTGCCATGATGCTGACACTCACACCCTGCTTCACAGCATGGACAGCCTGATCCTAACCAGCATGGCAAAGCCCGACTACACAGCGATAGACATGCCTCCTGTTTACCCCTATCCTTCTACCAATGCAATCTTGCAAGGTGATCATTGTGAGGATGTAGCTTGGTGCAGAAGGAGTTTAGCTTTACATTAGCAATGTAACTAAATATTATGCCCTAACATTTAATTTGAAACAGTCTCTTGTGAGCCACTGTGATGTTAATGTCCATATGACTGTATTCTGTGGAGGAAGCATCAGCTCTTATTGTTATTATTAGAGATGCACCAATCCAATATTGATTATTGTATCAGTCCAGATAAAAATAAAAATAAAAAATAGCAGTGACTATTGGTTAAATCTATGGAAGCAGAGTTGTTCATTTAATCTCTATAGTAGATTTAAGTTCCTGTAAGTTAGAAATATCTTTAGCAACAGAAAAGTATATCCATTAATGGGCATCTATCTTTGATTAAATAGATATTCGTTTTAAGAACGGAATATAACCTGTTACCACGATTTATTGTGTGTATAACTTCCAAAGTTGCCTTTGGAAAAATAAATGTATACATTTATGTCTGTCATATTTAGTTTTATAGAGGAGTTAATGAAATATCAAGGGTGATGCTGACAACATAAAAGCAAGCAGAGCTGTCACTTAAAAAAAGTATCGGAATCAGCAGATATTCAAATTCAACTATCGAAATTTGATTGTAAGTAAAAAACCTGTATCACAAAAATAAACAGAGATAGCATTAAAGAGATTTTCTCAATGGGTTTTCTTAATGTGGATCCCGTGCCTATAGCAGAACAGTGGCATATTACAATGAATTTATTGAACACAAAATACATGTAGGGGCTGTAAAACACCAGAAAGTAGTCATGTATTCACTCACTTAATTGATACTGAAGAACTCAAACTGAAATAACTTTTTAAACAACAAAATAGTTACTGGAAGAGTTGCTGAGGCTTTCACTTTCATTATTCAAATCAATCTGGTGTGACTGAGAGTCCATTCTTTAAATCTAAGTTGTCAGTTTAAATGAATGTTATTCTTTAAACTAAGACCTCCTATATGAATAACTATTAGCCTTCCACTATTACAACTATGACTTCAGTTTCCTGTAAACTTGCTGCATATAACATATACAGCTGATATGTAAAGTGACAATTCCGTCATTCCACTTTTAACAGTATATAAATACTGTTTGGCCATGTATAGCGGTCATGTTTCTCCTTATGTTCCTCTGTTTTCCTGAAGGAATGCTGGTGAATGTGTTGCATGCTGACCTCTTTCTGTCAGTCTGTCACTTATTTATCCTCTCTGCTCTTTCTGCTTGTCTGTACTCAGTGAACAAGAACGCCAATACAGACCAAAAGAAAAGCGAGGAGAAGAAGGAAGAGGAGGATGAGGGTGAAGATGAAGATGGCCCTAAACGCATGCCTCCCTATAGCTCTTGTTTCATAATGTCTACCACCAACCCGTGAGTATTTAATGTTGCTTTATGTGCCATAATTGGGGTGTTCTTGGAAATCAAAGGGGTTTTTTTGTAAAGAAATGCTCGGTGTGTTCTGTGAAATCTTTTAGTACCATATTGTGGATGCCTTTGTGTTTTTACATCAGGTTTCGCAAGTGCTGTCACTACATTCTTACTCTGAAGTATTTTGAGTTCAGCATCCTGTCAGTCATTGCTATGAGCAGCATTGCCCTTGCAGCAGAAGACCCCGTCAAGCCTGACTCACCACGGAACAATGTGAGGCATTAATGTGTTGCTGTCTTTTTACATTCAATTTGTGGTAAATTCTTATCATTTTGCAGATAAAGACTGTAAAAATGTGTTCATATATTCAAAAGACTAGAATTTATGAGCAAATTCCTCTGAAAACAATCAATCATTGTCCACCAATTCTTTCCCTTAAATGTAAATGTTTTTTTGTTTGTATGTTTTATTTTTCTCAATCACACAACAGGGGAAAAATAACAACCATTTTGATGCATTGCATGCAACACTCCAAAAATAACAAAATGATCAAACACATCCAGATCACACTACACATTTAAATAATGACCAACGAAATCCTCAAACCAACTTTTTAACAATCCCAATTAGTGTCTCTAACTAAACTCAACCAGTTACCTGCTATGTTACCAACTATGATGATGTTAGCTGTACGTTCAAAAGCTATATAGCCACATTTTGCACAACAGTTTTTGTTTTGTTGAATGTATAATTTTTAAAACCCTCTAAACATTTTCAGACTTTAATTCTATGTAAAAAAGAAAGTCTGTCTGCCTGTCTGTCTCTCCTTTGTGCAAACATGTAGTCAGACACATAGTTTTTCCAAATTAGGGATTTTGCTACATAGGATTCCCAAGTGCCAAATCCATTACAGTGATATTTTCGAGCATTAATGAACATTTTTATAGACTGATTTTAAAAAAGTCTTACTTTTTTTAACTTGGGACATCTTGGTTTACTAAATTAATTGTGAAGCAAGAATGCACACCTTAGATACGTTAGATACTACTTGTTACTTTTGTCCCAAAGAGACATACTTCAGGTCAAGGAAAACATTTTTTAAAACTTCTCCTTAGTTCATCAACCAGAAATAAAGAACAATTTTTAAGGCTAAATTTTAAACAATTCATGTTAAAGAGGAGGCTAAACCTGCTAATTTTAGCTAGCACTTCAGCAATCCGCTCTACATAAAATCTGCAGGCAGAAGAAAGGTTCTAGCTTAAAGAGGATAGGTGTTCAATTCAATTCAGTTTATTTCTATAGTGCCAATTTTAAAACACGTCATCTCAAGGCACTTTACAGATTACCAAATCATGAAATCAAATTGATTTAAAGTTTTCTATCTAAGGAAAACCAGTTGATTGCATCGATTCATTGACTCAAAGGCAATCCTTCACACTAAGTATGTTTACAGTGACAGTTGAGAGGAAAAACTCCCTTTTAACAGGAAGAAACCTCCAGCAGGCTCAGTGTGAGTGGCCATCTGCCGAGGCCGACTGGGTTGTGTTGTCCATTTTATAAAAATTTTAATCGGATGTCTGTTTTAGGTGACATTATGTCTGAATCACAATATTCCCAAACCAGCGTTTGCAAATGATATGCTGCTTTGTAGAAAAACTGAAATGCTCCAAAATTAATCAAGGGTGACACAATCTAATTGATTATATAAATCATTCAATAATGATGATTATTGATATTGCAGGTTAAAAGCTAAGAGTTCTCAGCTGTATATATGGAAAAGAATTAATGAATTCTAATAAAGTTTCAGACTTTAAACGATTATTCTTAAATTACTTTTATCAGTATATAAAGGATAAAAAACTTGATCATGATCATAAGTAACATAGACTTTATTGCCCAGAGCTTTGATTTGATCTGATCATTAGTGTTCTCCTTTTCTGCTTTAAAGTAATTGTATTTTAACGTTTTGTGTTGCTCTGCAGGTGCTGCGTTATTTTGACTACGTTTTCACAGGGGTCTTCACATTTGAAATGTTGATCAAGGTAACAAAGTATCACTTAGCAGGTGTGGGTGTTAATTTCTGTAGTGAATATATATTATTTCTGTGTTTTCTGTTTTAAAATTAAAAAGTGCTTGATACACACTACTTTTTTTTAACACTGATTGACAGTCAGTAAACTCAAGTTAAACTAGCTGCAGTTGTCGTAGACCCTTAGTGACAGAAAAGGTTTTTTTTTAAAGGGTTCTTGTGAAAAAGTGGAATTAGCTTTACGTGCTCCTCTGAGTTAAAATAAGTGTAAAAAAAATCTTTAGTCTCAATTCTTCTTTTAAAATATCTATATTTTAGTTTATTAAATATTCATCCTTTTTTTCTGGATGAGAAATTGGAGTCTATATTTCGATGTTTTGTTCATAAATCTTTGAGATGTCGATTCAGATTTCTTATTTAGAGCTAATATAAAAAAAAAAGCTTTCAAAACTCTTTCTCTTCTCTCTTTTATTGATATTTTGAACTGTTAAGCGTCTTGTATTAGTAGTAAAATCAAATCATTGCAATTAGCTTTACTAGCTGTAAATCACTTAATTGTATATATAAAACTTTAATTTAACATAAATTTCTTCTAGTTAAATTACATTTTCAGAAAGCTGCCACAAGCTCAAATAGGTCAAATAGAGCAACTAATCAGTAGAACGTTCACGCTTCCTGGCTCTTTCATAGATTCTAGAAAATCTTTAAGAAAATTGTTAACTTTTAATTGGCTTTTAAGTTTTGAATATTTTCTATCACTCCAATTTTCAGAATCTCCATAAAACTCAAAAAGCAGAGCCATACTTTAATCAATCAGTAAGTCAGTCACTCATAAATAAATGCATATTTCCTTGTTAAAGAATACATTTTAAAAATCCCCGGTATCTGACAGTCATTGTTTGTTTTAAAACGTGGGATTTTAAAATGAGGTATGTGCAGGAAGCCCAACATGTGTTGTAACGTGTGCATGTTTTTCTGAGCTCTCTTCATGTCTTCCAGATGGTGGTACTCGGCTTGTTTCTCCACCAAGGGTCTTACTTTCGTGACTTGTGGAACATTCTGGACTTTATAGTGGTTAGTGGTGCTCTGGTGGCCTTCGCCTTCACGTAAGTGCCCCCTTCACCACCCCTCACCCTCCTCTTGATCACCTTCACCCACCACCCACACACATTGCACCATCCACAGAAAGGCCCAGGGTGTAAAGCTCAGTTAACCAGACAATCCTGATCTATCTCTTTCCCTCTTCCCTATAGTTTTGTCTCAGCCTGGTGTGTCTAGAAAATCCTTATCCTATTCCTCTTTTCTGTCAGCTGTTGCTTTCTTCCTCTTGTAATTTTTTTTTTTTTTACATTCTTTTAGTTGTTCTGTATTTCTTTGTTCTCTGCCTCGGGTATTGTCTGCTCTATTCATCTCTGTTGTTGTTGATCCTTCTTGAGGATACTGTTTCTCCTTCTTCATGATCAAACACAATTCATTCAAATTTACATTTCAGTTTGTTCATTGCTCAGCATCACATATTTAATCCCATCATCAAGTGGTCTTTCTCTACATAACATTTCCACCTTCACCTGTCTACCAAGCCCTCATCTTTTACTGAAATATACCCCAATGTGTCTCACCTGATTGTCCAATCTCTGATCTACACTCTAAAACAAAACAAAACAGCCTCCGAAATATTTTTTTTTTTCTAGTGTTTTTGGACTATTGGGACTTCCCTTTGGTTCCAAATGATAGTTTTACTGCCAAAAATGTCAGCTGTATTGGAAACATTATCATTGCTGATATGCAAATACGTTTTTAGAGTGTAGTGGCATCATCTCTAATCTCCTTTTCCTTCCAAAACCACCAATAGTCATGAAAAGAACTAACCCTACATTACTTCCCTAACTGTTTTATAAACTCTTAATCCGCAAATTTATCCTTATAAACAATCTTGCAACCCATCTTCCTTGCCTGTTCCCTTATTCTCCCTTATTTTTCAAATCATGCCAACCTGATATTTCCACCAACCAGGCCGTGAGTCATCCCTTCCTCTTATTTTGCATCTTAACACTGTAGTTTTGGTCCTACGAACTACTTTTTCTTACCACCACACCTCTTAGACCTTCCATAGATCACATACCCCTTCAAACTTCTTATTCCTAACATACAGCAAGTAGAAAAACTGCACATGTGGATGCTGACTTGCTCTGCGTAATAAATGTTCTACCCTCAAAGAAATGCAGGCCTCTTCAACGCCTCCATTAAGGGTTTATCAAAAAACTAACATCTTGATATTTTTGACAAATTCCAACAAATTACTTTAGATTAATTTTTTTTTTTTATTCAAGACACAATCCATTTAAATAAATGTATTACTCAATTTACTCAAACATAAATGTATGTTTGAGTAAATCATTATTTTCTTTGGTGGCAATGAAAGTAGAAATGTAAATTTGTATCTTCTACTAAAAATATTCAATGCATTTTACTAGCTTTACATATTTTTGTGTATACGTCTGTACGATCCACACTTCCACACAATATCCACGTGAAGTACATAATACTTCAGTGAATAATATACCGTATTTTCGGGGCTATAGAGTGCAACTCACTATAAGAAGCGCCCACAAAATGTTTTGACAAAACTTGAAAAATACATATATAAGCCGCAATACTGCATGGGGGTCCCAAAGAATCAGAAATACTTTAATAATCCCAGCGAGAAATTACTTTCGTTACATTACTCCATCTGTAATAGAGTGACTATAGGACCAATTTAAGATAACACATCTTCATACAATATATATATAATTAAGGGGTCCCCGCTCCATGTCGCCATCAGTTTGGGGATCCTTGACCTGGAAAACGTTGAAGACCCCTGGTCTAAAGCATGGGGGAAAAAGTAGCAGCTCATATCTCGGAAAATATGGTAGTTTAATCAGATGAAAGATTTGCGTATTTTTAATGAAATCACTTGCTTATTGAGAAACTCATTTAACAATATAATCACATTGATATCTAGTGGTTTATAGTAATAAATAAGGTAGAAAGCACCAGTTTACAGCATGAATTTGAGAAGGCTTAATTTGACCTGTTAACTGTAGAAACTTTAGCTTTATAGTTTAAGCTTAGCTTTTTTTCTTCCTTTTCATTTTGAAAAGGAAAGTTAAATATTTCCTGGTCTACAACAGCGTTGTTTTTTAGTCTGTTTGTAATAAAATTTTGTTTTAACATCTATAGCATAAATAATTTTTACGATCCCTACTATGAGAAGATGTGAAAGATTCAAGTGAGACTTTACCTAAACTTTGTGAATCAAACAGATTAATCCAGGTCCAGCCAGTAAAAACCCTGGTTTTCCTTCATCCTGTTCACTTAATCAGATGATTGGCCCCCATTCTATTGTGAAGCTAAAAATGGTTGCATCTGATCTCTGTACAGGCTTTTAACTTTGGAGATAATTTACTCTGTGGAAGTTTAATCTGCTCTGATTTGTTACATCTCTAAAAGGAATTAATAAGGAGTGAATTGTAAATAATAAATGCAAATAAATCTGAACAAATGTCTTGGTCACTGTAATAAAGAGCAGAATTAGTGTATCTTTTTTTTTCCTGATGGGAAGAATCATAATAACCTTAAAAACTTTTCTTACAAGGTTAGAGCTGATCAAGACGTCTTTTCTTGCCAGTTTAGGTCATGGTTCACCTTTCTGCTGTATGTTAGGAGCAGATACCATTTACCACTATTCCCCTTGAACTAAACCTCCCATTCTTGTACGGTTCTGTCCTTTTATATTCCTTCATGTTACAAAATCCATCAAACATTTATCTCAGCAACCGACCCACAAAGAATCATTAAACCAGAGATCATATCTCCCCAACAAATCCACACCACCACCTCCTCATTCGCCCATATTCCCTTGCTGGAGGTCTAAGTCGATAAGTTTGTGGGGGTGAGGGCATCCCAGACACCTTTAACCCTTTAAGTGCCCAGGCTATCCATATGCCACACAGAAGAAAGCTGGCAGCAGGACTTCATCTCACCCTCTTGCCCCCAGCACACATTCAAACCTAAACACTCACACACACACTCTGGTACTCAAGTCTGACTTTAACGAATCTGGAGGCACAGGTATTTAACTCTCTTTCCTTTGCACGACCTGGGAAAGTACAGTAGAAGGGAGGGGAAGGGGGAAGCATGCTGGGGTGGGGTGTGGTGGGTGGAATGGTTTCTTATTCTCACACAGCGTTGATATATTGAGTAAAAACTGATTTTTGGGAAAGTGTTGTCATCCCTAATTTCTGTGTATTTTGCTTGAAAGAAGTTAAGCTTTCTAAGGAATATTTTGCAGTTGTCTTAAATCCTTTTTTTCTTTGGACTTTTTCTGCCTTTTAATTATATTAAGTTGAGTCTGTTTTTTTTTATTTTATTAAATGTCTGTTGTTGGCCTTATATTTTGGACCAGTAATACTTCAGGCATGAAAAGCTTCCTTAACTCAGGGATTAAACCAATCTTGTGTTGGAACTTGTTTGAGGCCAAATGTGTTACCTTATTTCTTTATAACACCTCAACATTGGCTTAATGTGAACTTTTGTCATGTATTTGAAAATAATTGTTAAAAAAATTTTCAGCTACCGTTGGTAACAGCAGCTGGGCAGCTTCAAACTGAAAGTCAGCATGCCATACTGAAAATTAAAACTTTACATCAACTTTACTTTAAATATTCATGATGATATAAGTCATCATTAAAAATGCACTCATAGTTTTTGACAATGTTGAATCACAGAAAAATATCTGAGAGTAGCAGAATATTCAATTCAATTCAATTTAGTTTATATAGCACCAACTGACACCATGTCTCAGCCAGAGACACTTTACAGAGATAATTCAATCTAATCATACAGACAGAATGTTCTACGCAAACTCTTTCATTAAATACAGCAAAATAAGCCTTCCCAATATTAGGATCTTTGATTGGGATACTTCTGCCTCTAACGGCCTTTCTGACCTTTTGCATCTTTAATAATTATCATGAATGCATTGAATTGTGGGCATCTCCAGCAGATAGACTCCATCCATTACGCTATATTTTTATACTGGCATGCAAAGTGTTTATGAGGTGCAATAGAAAATCCAGTCCTTTGAAAACGACTCACATATAATCAGATATTGTGACAATTAAATATTTTGCTACCCTTAGTTATAAGTCAATGCTGCTAATTTCATCTCCAAAACAAACACCTAAATAAAAGCAGCATATTGGATTTGCCCGTCTTCCTCAGACCCTTTGCTTCTTTAACGCTTTACCTAATTCCATTTATCTATTTTTGTTTGTTTTGTGAACAGATTGTGCAAGGTATGCCAGAAGCATTTTCTTAAAAACACTTTATGATTATGACAGAATTTTTTTTTTTTATTTATTTTAATGAATCAACAAGTTTCTTTATTGACATAGACATCAAAAAAGTAATTACTGTCTGTCCTCTGTCAGGTCCTTGCTATTTTGAGAAAAATAGCATGAGAAAAAAACATTTCAGGTCTGATGTATCTACATCTTTTGAAGTTTGTTTTCTGTAAATAAGTATTTGTTGATCTGGTATAATTTTTGTGGACAAAATCACCAGGAATTAAAATAAAAAGTCCAAGGAAAAGGTTTTAAAGACAAGAATCTAATTTTCTTCCGTGAAAGTAAAACATAAAAGAAACAAGGGATGACTTCAAACTCTTTCCAGTACTGTACGTATATTTAACAGATGCCTGTATGCTAATGAAAGTAAACATGGAAGTGCAGGAGCCAGATAGAGGAGCTTGTGCATCCATGCATGTCTGCAGTAGTGACTGCATGAACCTGAACCTGCGATGCAGTACACGGCATCACATGTTCAGCACATAGAGTCAAGCTCAAGTAAAATATCTTTGGTAAAACGTGACTTATATATACTGTCAAAAAGAGTTCAGATCAAAAGCAAAGCAATTTTAGAGGAAGCAGCACTGCCTGAGACCCGAGTGAAAATACATAAATGGCACAAAGACACTTGGATTGCTTGAGGTGCCAGAAATGCAGTGGTTTAATTATATTAAGTTGAGTCTGTTTTTTTTTTATTTTATTAAATGTCTGTTGTTGGCCTTATATTTTGGACCAGTAATACTTCAGGCATGAAAAGCTTCCTTAACTCAGGGATTAAACCAATCTTGTGTTGGAACTTGTTTGAGGCCAAATGTGTTACCTTATTTCTTTATAACACCTCAACATTGGCTTAATGTGAACTTTTGTCATGTATTTGAAAATAATTGTTAAAAAAATTTTCAGCTACCGTTGGTAACAGCAGCTGGGCAGCTTCAAACTGAAAGTCAGCATGCCATACTGAAAATTAAAACTTTACATCAACTTTACTTTAAATATTCATGATGATATAAGTCATCATTAAAAATGCACTCATAGTTTTTGACAATGTTGAATCACAGAAAAATATCTGAGAGTAGCAGAATATTCAATTCAATTCAATTTAGTTTACAGGTGCTGGTCATAAAATTAGAATATCATGAAAAAGTAGATTGATTTCAGTAATTCCATTTAAAAAGTGAAACTTGTATATTATATTCATACATTACATACAAACTCATATATTTCAGATGTTTATTTTGTTTAATTTTGATGATTACAAATGACAACAAATGAAAATCTCAAATTCATCATATCAGAAAATTAGAATATTGTGAAAAGGTTCAAAATTGATGGCCCCTGGTGCCACACTCTAATCAGCTAATTAACTCAAACCACCTGCAAAAGCCTTTAAATGGTCTTTCAGTCTAGTTCTATAGGCTACACAATCATGGGGAAGACTGCTGACTTGACAGTTGTCCAAAAGATGACCATCGACACCTTGCACAAGGAGGGCAAGACACAAAAGGTCATCGCTAAAGAGGCTGGCTGTTCACAGAGCTCAGTGTCCAAGCACATTAATAGAGAGGCGAAGGGAAGGAAAAGATGTGGTCGAAAAAAGTGTACAAGCAAGAGAGATAACCGCACCCT